ATAAAAAAACATATAAAATTTAAAAACACAAATTTAAAGAAAATGAAAAAAAAAACAATAATGAATAACGAATATATTACCTTTGCTTCTAGAAAATCTATATCGTCTTCAGTATAATCACGAATATAAGCATCAACATGTTCATAAAAAGTCTTTATAGCTACTTGATCTTTTGTTGACTTTACAACAGGTGCATCTTCTACAGCCACAGTCGTAGTTTCTGTGGTGCTTCGCTTTCTTTTTTTATATGAGCCTCTTGCAGTATTTGTAGTGTTCTATTTGTAAGATATTTTTTCAATAATAATCGTAGATATAAAATTTCAATCATGTCAACTTTATAAAAATGCACACCAGATTTTGAGAATTTCTTTTTGGTGTTGAGTTTCGTGAATTTTTCGATATGAATTTCTCAACGCTTGAAGTTTCACTATCATCATCACTACGCTCTCGTTTTTTTTTTTTCCTGTTAGCACCTCTAAAGCGTTGCAAAATAATAATAATAATAATAATAATAAATAAAATTTGAATAAAAGAAAAAAAGTAGAAAAGCAGAGCACAAATTATACATAAATTAACTAACGTGTTGGTCTTTATTGATTCTTTTCGTTGAGAAGAAGTAGGTATATATAGATCGTCCTGATCTAGATAAGTTATATCAATAGATTAATGTGTCTAATTTTATATTCCAGTTTCAAATACTCTTTGTATAAAACAGTACCCGAATCGTCTTTTTTGGCTTTAATACTTGAGCCTTTTTTCTTGGAACCTTTATCTTTTGATGTACTTTTATGAAGGCTAGGACTTCCCATTCTATAGCTACTAGGACTTCCTAATCTGTGGATGTTGGGACTTCCAGTTCTTTTAGGACTTTTGGTTCTTATACCAGTTGATCCACTGAGTTTTCCTACAACTCCACTATGGCTTATACTTCCATTAAAACCCCCGCCCGCCGCACTGTTATTTGGACCGACGTTAGGCAAAGTGCTCAACAGTTGCATGAAATGTTCAAGTTGTACCTTTCTTTCTGCTACAATAATGCTGTTATTTTTTAAATCTTTTTTTATATTTTGTAAATCGTGTTTGTTATAGGTTTGTGATGTGGAAACGACAGAATTACTATAATTGCTACGTCTTCTTGTTGATTTAGAAGGGATAGAAATTTTAGAGAACAATTTTGGATCAACTGATTTCTGGTCCATTGCTAAGATATAATATCAAATTTTACTGCTTAAGAACATTCATTGTTCATTATTCTGCGCAAAGAATGAATTTCGGGACCAAAAGTTTCTGAGAGATTATTGGTTGATTTATCTCAGAATTATGATTGGTAAACTAGATCCCAGACTCGAAATTAATAATTAGCAATAGCGGGCTTTCGTTCCGATTGGTTAATTTTGTTGATCATTTGGTTAATTGAACCTAAAGCAAATTTGTAACAATTAGGCTTCCGCAAGGGCCTGGGCTACCCATGGATACCCTAAGGGTAGTACCAAGTAAGCCGGGCTTGGATACTACTAACTGAGCCCTCAGGTAAGGATAAGGGTTTAAAGTATCGAGCCTTTATATAATGAGTAGGGTTAGGGTATTTATACTATCCAAGCCTTTGTACTGCTAGGTAGAGTCAGTAATACTTCGATTATAGGTTAGATCTATTTTAGATAACAGATAAACACATGCTAATTGATTTAAATTTTGAAAAAAAATTACTTTTTATTATATAGGTGGAAATTTTCAATTTCGTAATTATTTAAATTGATACTATGAGATTTTTTTTTTTTTTTTTTTTTTTTTTTATTTTATACAAATGCCATCAGCTAACTTTATTAATTTCATAAATTTCAGAAGTGATACATATTGTGAGAGTACAACTAGCTACACATACAATTTTAGGTTGTCTATTTTAAGTAGTCTGCCTGAAGGTTCTATACTAGTTACTATACCTGAAATCTCTTAGAAGATTCTCTATTTAAACTCTCTAACCCTATTTTCCTTATCGCAAATATTACTCTTAAAGTTAACTCAAATCCTGTATTACTCCATATTAGAAAACACCTAAGCTGATATTAGTCGCAAAATTTACTATTATGAGCCTAGGTCTTATCTGAATAAGTCTCATTTCAATATTCCCTAACAAATAGGTGTTATAACACTATGAGATTAAATAGAATCTAAACCAATAATATATGAAATATAGTATGATTACTGAGATTAAAAGTAATAATTTGATCAGTGATCATAAAATTGCTTATATGAGTTGCTTATCAGTTTTTGTATTTAATTTATGAGTAGTGCTCTGAACTGATTAGCTAAAATACTTCAAAATTGACCTGAACCAGATCAATTTTAGATCACTTAAGCTAAGTATCACTGTATTATTATCTAATTTTACATTCTAACTAAAAATTTCTGCCAATATATTCACTAATTATAGGCTATTAACATGATTAATATCTATTTCTATATATATAACAAATTGACTTTTTTTTTTGCTCTGGTTTATTTTATTAAACTTAAATTTCTATATAGTAAATTGTGACTATACTAACACCTTAACTTAATAGTATAACTATGCTTAATGCAATATACTAGTATAATACTTAACATAATATCTAATGCAAAGCACTAGTATACCCAACAAATATATAATGCAAATAACATATATAATATATTAACTACTAGTGTTAGTACTGGAAAATTGAAAGGCTATTGAAGCTACTATAAGTTAAAGTAATAAGATCATTAAACTTTAATACTATACTATCTAAAATACTATAGTGTGAACAATCTAGTCCCAACAAATAAAAATTTTAGCATCTAAATTTGAAATTTCATTTTTATATATATGATATGACTAAATTTGAAATTTTGCTAAATTTAATATATAAAGTGATCAAATTTAAACTTAAAATCTATAAGATTGTCAAATTTTAAATTTTAAGTAGCTAAATTTAAGATTTTTTTTATAGAAAATACTTTCATAGCTCTATAGTACTGTGGCACTGACCAATCAGAATTTTAGATCAGGTGTAACTTTTGTATAATGTCAAAGCAAAACAAACCAAAATAAACAAATAAAACAAAATAAATTTGTTAACTTTAGGGTTAGAGCTAGAGCTTGTATTAAGGTTAGGGTTAGGCATAGTATATATTAAAATTTTGTGAAGAATTTTTTTTTGTTAGAACACCAAAAGTGGTTTCTTAGTCAGGATTTTAAGTTATAAGCAAATTTTTAAAAAAAAACTACAATTTTTTAATTTTTAGGTTATATCTAATCCTAAATTCTGATTTGTTAGTGCCATGGCACTATAGTGCTATGAATATATTCTCTTTTTTATATATAAAAAGTAGCCAAATTTGAAAATTTAATATAAAACTATTCTAATTTTGAATCTTTATAACTTTGTTAAAAAATTTTTTTAGAAAAAATTTAATATCATAAGTTTGTTTAGCTTCATTAGATTTATTATTTAAAAAAATTTTTAGATTTTTATTCTTTTTTTTGAATGAGAAGTAGTAATTTAAAAGTATGTAAATTTATTTGTTAGGACTAGATTGTTTATACTATATGATTAATAATACAATTAATAATAATACTATAGTACATTAATAATAGGTTAAAACATCAAATACAAATATAGATAATCCTATAGAATATTATAATACTTTTACACTGGCATTACTTTTTAACAACTCAAATACAAGCTCATTTGATAAATTAACTATATATAAAACTATTAATGAAATAACTAATAGAACTACCCACAAAACAACTGACAGAACCACTCATGAAACAACTGATGAAATAACTCATAAAATAACTAACAAAGCTACTAATGAAACAACTAACAGAACTACTATTAAAACAACTGGTGAAACAACTAACAGAGCTATCATTGCAACTACATTGCCAAAATATATATTTGCTATTTGGCAAAGTTTTTTATTATTAAATAATAAGCCAAAAGCTAAATGTAAACATTGTAATCAATTGCTTAGTCATAAAAAAAGAAGTAGAATATCTTATCTTAAGTGCTATTTTGATTCTTGTTAGAAGTATCAAAGATTACTATAAACTAGTAACTTCAGAGCAAATTTACCAAATAGTCAAATATGATTAAATTTTAATGTTTTATTAAAATAACTATATACTATTACAAGTGGTATAGCCTTCTCAATACACTACAAGTAACATAAGACACAGAAGGGGGACTCCCAATAGTATCAAAGTAGAATATCATATCACTATAGCAGTTCGTTTAAAAGAAGCATTTTAGTCAAGGCCAAGGTATACTTTATTAAGATTTAATAGAGGACTTTGGATTTTATTAAGTACTGTATTATTTTAGAACTATATTAGAGAACTGTGAGGAACTACAGAACTATATAGAACTGTATAGAACTACATACAGAACTTTATACAGAACTATATAGAACTTAATATAGAACTATGCAGAACTATTCAGAACTGCATACAGAACTTCTTTACAAGAGAGAGGAAAAGCTAGGATTTATATATCTTTTTCCTAAACGTTCTCAAACGTAGTTAAATATTATCAAATATAGCTAAATATCATTAATTGTAGTTAAACGTTATCAAACGTAGTTAAATGTTATCAAACGTAGTTAAATGTCATCAAATGTTATCAAACGTCATCAAACGTAGATGTTACTCAAAATATAAATCCTAAGGTAACTCAAGAACTACATATGCTACAGATATAATTTATAGCTCATTTTGAAGGTCTAATCGAGCTA